ACTGTTTCCTGCCTAGACAGGGGTTCAGACTCAATGATCTGTTGAGGTCCCTTCCAACCCTAGCATCTATGAATCTCCGAGTCTCAGAAATATGTGAGAAGTAAGGTGAGATGATTTTTTTTTTTGGCCCATGTACGTGGTTGGGATAGACTTAGGTAAGCTTTGGCATTCAATGCAGTAGACATCTGAAGAAGAATGCATTTACTTCAAAACCTCCGTTCACCCACCAAAACCCTTGCCTCTTGATCGAATAAGGCAGTTTGTTACTTTAATTAGAAATCAGAAATGTTTTGCAATTTATAATGCAAAGCTTAATGTAAATTTATCATGGAAAGTTTAATTTGGGGTACAGTAATGCCATATTTATTTTTCATATTCATGTAACAAAACTGCAGAATATGGGAAAGCTCTTCTTCCAAGTCAGTGCATTCCCACCCAGCTCTACTGCACTTATTATTTCTCACACAGTTGTCTTAGCTGTCCCAGGACAGTATTAGGACATTTTTCCTGGGCTGGGGCTTACAGGGACCATATACAAAACACAAACTTCAAAATGTTCAATTTCTACAAAAAACGGGGAAAATGATACGCATTTGTCTCTCTATCCAAGACATTGTCCCCCATCCAGCCCTTTATCTGAAGGCTTACAAGATTTTGTACCATGGTTCAGTTTCATCTTTCTGATTCACTGTCCTATTAAATATTTACCCTGACTGATAAGTTCACTATTGACATGAGTCAGGGACTTCCCTATACCCCAGGGATGGGTTATTACCTTACAGCAGAGCTTTCCAAACTTTTCATGTTGGTGACACACTTTTTAGACATGCATCATTTCACGACACAGTAATTCAGTTCCGGGGGAGGGACCAAGGGAAGCAGACGTGAGTAAGGGAGCTCCGCGGTGCCCTTCCGCAAAATTTTCTGCATTTCGCGCGACACACCTACACACTGCCGCCGACACACTAATGTGTCGCGGCACACAGTTTGGAAAGCTCTGCCTTACAGAATAGTAGAAGAAATGCATATTTCGTGGATACAGAATATCTCTCTGGATTTTGTCAGAGTACGGCTATTAGCTAGCCAAGAAAGATCTTATCCAAGAAGAGTCCCTAAGCATGCACATTTAGTATACACTGAGGTAGGAGCTGGAGAAACGGATGATTGGCTTAAGATGCCTAATGCAGCATTCTGCAGCTATCAAAGGAGGATAGTCTTTGTTTCTTGTTTTTTTTATTCAATCTGCTGAATCATATTTAAGTGTAGTGGCTGAATCATTTTTAAGTACAGCTAAAGAGGCCTATCAGCATCCACAGAAAATATGTTGTAGAGAACAGCCACTAGAATAATTAAATAATTACCATGTAATCCTTCCCCAAAATCATCCCCTTTGAATGCATCCGCAAAAGACGACATTTTGACACTAAAAGAATTGAGTTAAAATTTGGAACTGCTAGTGGCTAATGAGATGCTACTGTTGCATAAGGCAAAATGCATTCCAGGCACGTACTTCTGTAGCTCAGTAAAATGTATTTGCACTTTAGTGATCAAACTGCAAACTGCTAATTTTTCATATAGCCTTTGTCAAAGAGCTACATACTTTTAATGACCGTGTTGCATATTTTGCTGATTAAGCATCATGTAATATTTCTTTCATTTAACTGCAGTTTTTTCTACTGCATGAGGTGGTTGATTTTTTTCCTGACCTTGCTTCATAGCCTTATAATTGAGATTTCAATGGGAGTTGTACCCATATGAATGAAGGTAGATTTGGTTCCATAGAGT